AAGTTTAAATATTGTTATTTAATATTTGTTTAATATAATTTTAAATAATTTATATTTTTAGACAATTAAATATTTAATAATATCAAATCAAGAATTAAAAATTATATATTTATAAATAATAATTGGGATATATTTGAACAAATAGCAGAATTTCTTGAGCTTTTTTAAGAAACAACTATAATGATATTGGTATTAACATATCTAACATTATCTATAACAATTCTACTATATAATATTTTAATTGATTATTTGAAAGATACTAATGACAAAAATGTTAATTCAAATATAAAAAAAGCAGCTAAAGCATGTTATAAAAAATTTTAGAATATTATAACAAGATAAATAAAATTTATATACTGGCAGTTATTTTGAATCCAAGATTTAAAATATAGTATTTTGTAAATAATAATTGAAGAAAAAAATTAATAGAAAAAATAAAGAAACAGTAAATATTTATTTTTATTTTACTTTCATTTAATTTTTATGTTTTAATTTTTAATATTTAATATTAAATCTTTTTTATTTTTAGTGTCAATAATGGTTTTAAAGAATATGACAAATTAAATTCAAGACTTATAATAACAGTTAATATAAAAGAAATACATAATATAGTTAGAACAAAATTATTTAAATAATGATATACTGTATAAAAAAACAAAATGAATTGTAATAATATTTTTTATTGCCCTATATAATAGAAAAAATTAATATTTTAGAATGGTGAAAAATAAATGAATAACAATTTTCATGACTAGTATATATTGTATATATGGTTCTAAAAATTGGAATTAAACAGAATTACAAGAAATTGCATAAGATTCAGAACAATATTAAAAATAATAGTTAGGTATATCCTATCTATTAAAGTTAATATAAACTTGAGAATTAAATATAGAATCAAAGAGAATTATTAGGATTCTTAATTGCATATAATTATTTAACAATATCTACAATAAGTATATCTGTAGAACAGGTTTTTTTAACAAGTAAAAATTTAATTACAGAAAAAAAACCAGTTGCTAGATAAAACAACAAGAGCATATATATATTTAAAGTCATGATAGCAAAAGCTATTAACAAATAGCAATTAAAAATTTTAAATATATATAATATAATTATATTTATTATTTATATTACTTATTTATATTATTAATTTATATAATATATAATTATAATTTTTTTTAATAAAAAGCAAAAATAAATTGTTATGGATTTTTTTTATATAATTTAAAAAATAAAACAAAGTATTAATTTTGTTTTTTCTAATTAAATATTTTATTTTGATATATCAATATATATTTTTAATTTTTTCAAAGCTTTTATAATAAAAATAAATATTTGAAAAAAATATTGTATATAAAAAAAAAGTTTTTAATTTATATAGAAATTTTTTTTTTAAGAATTATCAATTTATTGTTTAAATATATAAATAGCAATAAATTGATTTTTTTAAAAATTTGATTTTTATTTATCAATTTAGTTTTATTTTTAAATTAAAAAACATATATAATATATAAATAAATTTAAAAATTTAAAAATTAAATAATAAAATATAATAATAAATAATAATAAATAATAATAATAAAATATAAAAATAAATTTTATATATAAATTTTTTCATAAAATTTGCAAACCAACTTTTGGTTAATGAATTAATAAAAATTTTATTTAGAAAAATTATTTAGAAAATTAAAAAATATTATGTTTATAAATTATTTTAATTTAATAAGCTGCATTGAATTTTTTATTTGCATAAATTTATTTAAATAAAAATAAAATCAATTGTTTAAGTTTATACAGTATACTCTAATTACGTATATAGTTAATTGGTTAATTGATCATTTATTTATTTATTGAATATTATTATTACAGTATTATTATTATTGAAAATTGAAAATAAATAATATCAATTGAATAATTATATACAGTATATGCAAAATGTTATACATCTGTATACTGTATGTACTGTATTTAATTTAATGTTCATACAATAATAAATTATACAACCAATGTCCCACATTACAGCATGTAAATGTATCTTTATTTTATAATAAATTTTATTTATTTATCAATTACAAAGATACATTGGGCCAATCAACTAGCCAACTCTATCGAGACATAATATCATCTTTTAATAACCTCGAATGCTTCATAATCCTCGGTCGCAAATTGGATGCCATCCAAAATCTTTTTCTCATAGTTCTTATTATCCCCCCGACCACCGAACCACCACAGGTCATATCCGAATCCAAAGTTCGCAGATGTGTCGTTTCCATCAAATATCGCCTCATCATATTTTGTCACCCTGCTTAATATAGAATTTTTGATGCCTTTCCCGTCCACTCCTTTTCCGTCTATGCCCAAGGAAAAAATAAAACTTTCGGTAGTGAATAACCATCGATGAGTAGATGTCCAAGGTAATGGATTATACCCTCCGACGATGTTTCCAGTGCCAGCGACTTTCACTATAATTAATGTGGCCCCTTTATTATCACACCGACGATGAAATTCCCGAATTTGCATTCCATCACGACTACCCCTGATCAACAATTTGAATTCGTAAGGGATGATGTTAAGTTTTTCATTATATTCTTTGCGGTTGATCCAACTGGAGATCAATGAAAGATGAGTAGCGTCAATCAACTTCGAATCCGGAATGTGACGGCAAACTCGTAAAGGAAGTTCCTCGGGTGGTGGATCGATACCTCCAAGGTAATAGAATTTCTTGAGTCTTTCTTTAAGGCTTTTTGGCAGGATTGATTTAAATGGTCTAATGTGTTCATAATAAAGTTTACCGGGTATAGTAAAAAATCTGATGTAAGGAAAGAAATCTTGAATTCTGATTTTCAACTCTTCAAAATCACCGTTAGTCCAACTCTCGATGTTGTCATCAAGTTTAGGGTCCTGACTCATGCCCCATTTTATTACACCGTTCCAAATATTAATTTCGTCAGTGGCGATGTCATCACGTTTGATGAAAGTGAGAAGAGTGTGTCTCTCCAGGTAGCCGATATCGGTTGATCTCAGTATCGAATCGGGACTTCGACTTATTTGCTGACCACAAGCTTCTCGGAGTTCAGAGAAAGATTCATGTTTTGATGAGATTTGAAAAAGTCTCACGAGGTTTTCATGTAACCAAGAAGGTTTATTTGATATTATATAATTTTGAATGTGTTTAACGAATCCATCGAGAATCAATTCATCGGCTGCCACCAGTAGTTCTATGAGGGAACCGCAATTCTCCAAATCGCACATACCCGTGTAGATATACCTATTATACGGTAATTGAAGTTACCCACGAAGCTAAAGTATTCAAATACATCAACACATACTTGAGAATGTGTTTGAACACATTGGGTGAAATGTGAGGTTCAACAAATGTAAAATATTTATCCTGGTCTCGTTTCACCAAATTACTTGAAAACAAAGTGCGAAAGTGTAATGATCTGGCCCTCAAGATGACTGAATGGGCTCTAAAGATTTCCATTGCCGAATTTTCTCCAACTTTAATTATTACATTGCAATCATCATAATCATCATCATAGACAGAACCTATATCTCGAGCCAAGGCAATTGAATCATTTAAGACCATCTTAACAAACGAATTGCAAAAAGCATGTACCGTATATACGAATACGTCATGCGTATACTAACCGTGTGTGTCACGTTGTCACGTAAGCGTGGGAATAGTATGCATGCGTACATACATAAGGAATTTAAAGAATCTACCCACTTTAATTTGGTCAATTAATAATGGAGGACAAAGAAACATCTCCTTTCTCTTTCAGTTTTCAGGACTTCACCTCAGATTCGGTCGCAAGTTCTTCCAATGCACTTCCAAATCTTGGTCCGTCATTTTATAGCGAAACAACCGAGTTTGGCATGGGTAGAAATCTACCTCAAAGTAACGTTATCAACGGAATAATGTTGAATAATGCCACAGAGAGTTCTCGTGAACCTCTACCTTTTATTCCAAACTATCTAAGAAACACACCCATCGACTTGAATAATAGAGCATTAGGGAAGTCAATAATACCGTTGCCTTCGAAGTGGAACAGGTGCGATGCAGGAAGAGATCTAAGAGTCAGAGAGAATGGATTGGGCGTTGAGGCTGTATGCAAGTATTTATAATTTAAAACAATTAATGGAATATTTAAATGTATATTTAATTTCTTTTACTAACATACCAAATTATCGTTCTAGCTGATAATGATGAGGCGACAGCCATTAGAACGGATCATCCCATTCCCATCGTATCTGGAATTTATTATTTTGAAATTGATATTATATTCGGTGGAAAAACACAGTAAGTTTGACTGTATATCGTGTTGCAAAATTAAGAATTATTGCTCTTAATATTTTATTCGCAGTATTGTAGGAATTGGAATTGGAACAAAGAGGTATGGACTTACCTTAATGCCAGGTATGTATTGATTTTGGATCACATAATATGTTACCAAGAGAAATCTTATTATTGTTATCTTATTTTTTATCAAATGTGTTTACCACATGTCTAAGAATCCGACTTTTTTATTGTTCTTTTCCAAAAAATGACAGGTTGGGATAGGTATTCATTCGGATACCACGGCGACGATGGCCGCACATTTCATAATGGTCACCGGTGGGAAACTGATCCCTATGGGCCTCTATATGCTACTGGTGATACAATTGGTTGTTGCGTGGACTTTTTCAACAGAAGTATTTTTTATACTAAGAATGGTATCAATCTTGGTGAAGTGAATATTCTACGAGGTGGGTATCATGGTATCAATCTTGGTGGAGTGAACATTCTACAAGGTTGGTATCTGAGTATTTGTTATTAATCCAAGCTATTGAATTATAATATTTGACGCAATTTATTGATTTTTCTTCCACGAAGTAAGTGGGAATTGGTATTAATTTCAATTTTCAGAAATCTAAATTTATATTGACCTAATTTTTCTGATCAAATTTATAATCTATATTGAACCTTCGAACTAATCGAACCTGCTATTAACACAAAAGTGAATGGATGAACAGAATCATTCGAATTTATGAAGTACGACTTATATCCCGTGATTGGCATGAAAAATGAACCGGTTTATGTTGAGGCAAACTTTGGTACGAGACCGTTTAAATTTGATATTGACTATTACGCAAAGGTGGGCTTTTAAATTTGGATTCTCGTTGGCACCTGTTTACTTGCCACCGCTTTTCTAACGGTTTTTTTCCTCTCATGTAATTAAATTTTAGAAGCGGTTTAAAGAAGTGGGAAGAGATCAGCTTAGCCACATCGCATCTGGCCTTTATCCAGTCGATGACTATTTAAGTCTCCTATGTCAAGAATTTCGTCTCAAGAATCTGGAATTTTGAAGAATAATTCTTGACTTGGAATCGAATAATGAAATGTCGAGAACTCGAACTTATTAGTCGCTTCAAAAAAAAAAAAAAAAATCTCAGTAGACAAATTACCGTGTACGCGTAACAATTGTATAATTTTAATCGATATAGTCATTTAAACATCGCTGTTATCTTTGGTGATATCATTCTTACCGAAGTCAGGTGTTCACTTGTGTTTTCAATGTTTTCGAAAGGGTTGGCAAGCGAGTGCAATGATACGTATATTCATTGTAACTTGGGTAGATCCGAGATAGCGATTTTACGTGATCCTGCTCTGTTATTTATTGCGTGATTTACTTCCTTCATTATGTAATTAAAAATGTAAACGCATACGTGCAGTAATTTAAGAAGCGTTAATCATAAAATTCCATAAATTTAGTAGTCCGGAGCATATATTTCTATACATTTTTAATAAAATTGTCCGTCTGTCCACCCCTGTATTTAGTGTAATGAAAATATGTCATTTCGTCTATCTTTAACAAGACCCCTGTATTTAGTGTAATGAAAATATGTCATTTCGTCTATCTTTAACAAGACCCCTGTATTTAGTGATTTTCTCATCACACATACGTCATTCCCGTCACCTTAATAATTGATGTTTTGTCTGTTTTGATATTTTGTTAAGTTCATCACATATTCTGTATCTAAAAATGAAAATTTATTTATTTATCTCGGAATAGTTTTTTATTACCGTGTTATTTTTATTATTTTTATTATTTTTATTATTTTATCATTATTTTTTTAATAGACACTTTTATCATTTTATCTTAGCATATATAATTATTAAAATTAAAGTTCATTATAATATATCTATATACTGGATTCAATCATTCATATTATGGCATTAACATATTTGATTTTGGTCAAAAATAATTAACAACAATAATTTTTTGAATTGATTTTATTATTTTTTTATTTTTTTATGAACCTAATAATTATTGTATTTTTATTAAATTTTAAATACCGGGTTTATATAAAATAAAGACTTGTAACAATTAGTAATAATTGATATAAGAAAACTTTTTTGTAAATTTGTTAACAACTGTAAAACCAAAAACTCAAAATATTATTTATTTAAAAATTTATTTTTTATAGATAATCAATTATTAATAAAATTATTTTATTTTATTTAACAATATCTTGTAATAAACAAAAAAAAATTTTAAATTAATGTTTATTTCCAATATATTTAAATAAATATTAAAAAAAAAATTAATTAATTATAAAATTAAAAAAAAATTTTTTTTTTGCTTTATAAAAATATATTTAATTTATTTTTTTAAAATTTTAAAATATTCAAATAAAAAAATTTTTTAATAATATTTGAAAATAAAAATTATATTATAACAATATTTAATTATATTATAAGAAAATTTTTTTAAATACTTATAAGATAAAAATATGTTGATTCAAAAAAAATTTTTAAACCAAAAAACTTATTTATTTATTTTTAATAAACTTTTTAAATATTGATTTTAAACAAATAATTTTTAATATTATATTAAAAATAAAAACAACAACAATAATAATAATTTGTAATTTATTTATAAAAATTTGAATTTGATTATAAATAAAATTTTTTTATTTTAAAAATATATAAAATTATAAAAAAACAAAAAAAAATTTATTATTTAAAAAATTTTATAATCTATAAAGAAAAATATAAAGTCATTAAGCTTATAGAGTTTATAAAATAGATTCTTAAAAATATTTTTATAAAATAAATATATTATATTACAATATTAATAATTATTGTTTTATTTAAAAAAATTATTATTATTTAATTTCACAAGCAAATTTATTTGCAAAATAATTTAAAAAATAACAAATTATAATTTAAGAATATGGTGATTGTAATAAATTTCAAAAAATCATTTAATTATGCAATAAATAGAAAAATATATTTATTATAAACAAATAAAAAATTTATAACATACTATATATTTTTAAATATTTTTATTGAATTTCAATAATTTTGCAAATAAATATACTATATATTTTAAAAAGATTTATTGAAAATTAATATTAATATAAAATATATTTTGTATTTAAAAAATATCACAAATATAAATATTATTATTAATATATGTCAAGTCTATTATTAATCTGAATTATATATATTGTTGTAATGAAATCACAACAAGTCAGTCACTTCCATCTGTCTTACACCATGTAATGATTGAAACAGTTTCTACTTAAAAAAGGCATATAAATTTGATCAGAGTTTGTAATGCTCATACAGATTAGTTTGTCAATTTTGCGTCCTTATTGGTTACTTTACATACAACAATTCTGTTAGCTATATGACACTAAGATTAATCACAAGACAATAGTTTATCAAATAAAGATGGTTTTTATTTAACAATTATACAATACTTATTCTGGTTTTTTTCTACTTTTTGACCATTCACAGGTTACTTATATACATTTTTACTTTATACTTATTATACCTATTATATCTAATATATTATTTATATCTGATATATTATTTAATTAAATTTATAATTTAAATTAAAACTTTATATAACAATAAGTAAGTAAAAACTTATATTAAAGATATTTATTAATAAGCTTTCTATTTTTAGATATCAATTTGATTTTTTTTTAAAAAATAATTAATCAAGATAAATTTATTAATTATATTAATACAATTATAAAAAATACAAGTTTATTTAATATTGTGATTAACTATATTTATTTATTGGCTAATTTTATTTATATTTATATTTGCTATAATACATATATTAATTTATTATTATATTGGGCAAATATTTTTTTAATTATTTTAATTTCTTAATATCTAATCTAATCCAATATATTATATTATATAAATTATAATAATTTCAGTAATTTATTTATTTATTTATTTTTTAATTGGCTAAAGGCATTAGATATAAGACTTTATTGATATTTACATATTTTGTTATTATATTAAATATATTTATAAACTAAACTATTGCTATTTTAAAATATAAATTAATACTATTTAGTAATTATTATTTTCAGTAGTATTATTTTTTTCAAAGATCAATTCAATTATTTTAATTAATTAGCTTATATTCAATAAATAAATTCATATTAGATAAAACTTATACAAAAGGAAAAAAA